AAATATTTCAAAAACGGTAAGGTTTAAGTATGATGAACCTTAATCAAATTTACCTTTATTTTAATTGTAGAATCTAAAAATAGAATAATATACAGGGAGTTCCATTTAAAAAAATACAACTATAATATTTTTTACTTAGTTGGGACACTCTGTATCTGTAAAAATATTTTTAAATTGTACCTCTAATAATCCTTCAACGAACCCAAAACTTACAATTTGTAAAAATCTAATCGTTTAGCTACAATACTCCGTGTCGTATGTGGTGAACAACCCTGTAGGTTAAAGGATAAAAGAAATAGTTTAAAAAATAAAAAAATTCCTTACTAATAGCTACAACCGTAAATTTCACATTGTATAACATCAGCCTGTCGGGCAGAGAGTAGGTGAATGGCTCTTAGAGTAAATATTTATCTCCTGGCGTAAACATGCCGGCTTTAAAGACCCGTTGCTTATAGTTTTTTCCCCGTCAAAAGGTAAGCTCCAAGCTCTGGTTAAATTGAGACCAGATTCGGCAGATAAATTAGGATTGATTAATTTTATGTTTTCGAATGACACAGTTTTGAACCTATGTCCAGATTTAATTTGAGAAATAAATTTTATAAACAAATTCAAGAAAGCAGTGATATTGATGAAATTGTACAGGGTGACGTCTCTTAAACGACGCGAAGGCTCCAAGGAGAACGGTAGTTTATATCAAGATGAAATTTTGAGAGAATATTTAAGTTAAATGAATGCATTTTATAAAAATATACAGAATTCTACAGGATGTCCCCAAGAAAACTTACACTTCAAAGTATTTTCTATTTCGGATTCTATGAGAAAAATTAAGGTGAGTTTTATTAAAGAAGTATGTATATGACTAAAATGTAAGGTTTTTGTCATTTTCTAAAAATGAAGAATAAATTTCAAATTTCAATGGAAGCTACCTAAATTGGAATTTACCCTGTACAGCAAAATAAAATTACACTAAATCACCACAATACACCAAAACACTTTTACTTTTACACTGGACGCGCGTTTCGCTAACCATGTTAGCATCATCAGCAGATGATTATAAACTAAAGTACAATCTACAAGTTGAGCGTTTATATACTCGCCCAGTAGGTACCGAGTGGGCGTGGCAAAATCTAGCCAACCGAGTCAGAGCCCAATGAGCGTAACAGTTAATTTCCGCCACTAGAGTAGTAGGAACAAAGAACTTGAAGGAATTGGACCGTTGACTCTGTTCATACTATCTTTACATTTATTAATTCTGATGCTTTCATATGCATCTAATTGCCTGTAATTTGAGACTTGTTTAATTAATTTTAAATTATTAAGATCTATACAATGTTCTTTATCAACAATATGTTCGGCAACGCAAGATTTATCCGGTCTACCATATCTTATCTGAGCTAAATGTCCTTTAAATCTAGTTAATATTGATCTTCTAGTTTGCAGCAATGGGTAATCCATTGTCTCCGTTTTTGGCTAATTTATTCATGAGCAGGTTTGAAGTGGAGGCTAAGAATCAGTCTGAGTATTTTCCAAGAGTATGGTTTAGGTATGTGGTTGATATTTTTGCTGTTTTTGACACACATTCAGACACCATAGATAATTTTATTTCTAAGTTAAATAATCGTTTTCCTTCCATTAAATTTACGCATGAAATTAAGAACAACGACAGATTACCATTTCTAGATGTATTAGTTATTAGAAATACTAATAATTGCCTGGAATTTGATATCTATAGGAAAAATACCACCAGACGCAGATATATTCCTAATGAATCACATCATAGTGTTGAACATAAAATGGCTAGTTTAAATTTCTTAGTTCATAGGTTACTTAGTTTCCCACTTTCCAACGAAAGATATGAAATAGAAAGAGATTACATTAGGAATGTAGCTGAGTGTAATGGATATTCTCCTTCGCTAGTTGATAAATTAATTAGAAAACGTAGGTATAGGTTAATGATTTCTGAAACTTCGACTTTTCAAGTGGAGAAAGATACGTCTAAATATCTTTCAATACCGTTTGATAGAGAGTTATCCCGTGGTCTAAAAGGAATTTTTAAGAATGTCAATTATAAACTTGTGTATAGTGCTAATAATAAATTACAACAATTATTAGGTAATCCAAAGGATAAAACACCTCCACTGAAAAGGTCAGGTATTTATGAGATTTCTTGTAAAGATTGTAATCAGAAATATGTTGGGCAAACTAGAAGATCAATATTAACTAGATTTAAAGAACATTTAGCTCAGATAAGATATGATAGACCGGATAAATCTTGCGTTGCCGAACATATTGTTGATAAAGAACATTGTATAGATCTTAATAATTTAAAATTAATTAAACAAGTCTCAAATTACAGGCAATTAGATGCATATGAAAGCAGAATTAATAAATGTAAAGATAGTATGAACAGAGTCAACGGTCCAATTCCTTCAAGTTCTTTGTTCCTACTACTCTAGTGGCGGAAATTAACTGTTACGCTCATTGGGCTCTGACTCGGTTGGCTAGATTTTGCCACGCCCACTCGGTACCTACTGGGCGAGTATATAAACGCTCAACTTGTAGATTGTACTTTAGTTTATAATCATCTGCTGATGATGCTCCAGTGTAAAAGTAAAAGTGTTTTGGTGTATTGTGGTGATTTAGTGTAATTTTATTTTGCTGTGTAACACCAAAGGTTCCAACCCTCAAGTGTAATTTACCCTGTATAGCCTGATATTTCGTTAAAATACCCACTGTATGTTAAACTAAATAAAAATTTAACCCTAAAAGTTATACAGAGTGGGACAAAATTAATATTAAACATTGGTCACTTTTAAAAGCAAATTACTCCTTTATTTTAAGTGGAACACCCAGTATATTATTCCGATATTCAACGGAGAATTCATATATCTTCAAAATATTCTTAAGGTAAAATTATATTAAAATTTGTTTACTTAAATGCTACGGAAAAGGCCATCGCAAATTTTGTGCTTTTTTTAACATTTTAAAACAGCAAAATATACAGGGTGTTCCTTAATGACATGTTAATATTTAAGGAGGTGATTCTAGAACCTATTCTAAGAGAAAAACTTTATACGAATGTATGTCATAAACATCTTAATTTATGAGATACAGGGTGGTAAAATTTTGTAAAAAAAACGTTTTTTTATAACTTTGATTTTATTACAGATATCTTTAATAATTAGTTATAAATTCATATGAAGTTTTTTTCTTAGAATAAGTCCAAGAATCACCTTCTTAAATATTAGCATGTAAAACGGAGTTTTGAGAAAAACGAATTTAATGTTCTTTTTGAAGTTATTTCTTAATTACTCCATTTTTTTAAACTTATGATTGTAATATTTGGTTTGGGTTAGTTGGGAACTTATTTTGAACTTTGTTGGGAACTAAGTAGCAAAAGATAGGACAAAAAAAGTAACTTATAGAGTATATATCTGAAATATGCTAATTTTGGCCTTAACATAGTTTGTTTCTAGGGTACAGAAATAGGTTTAACCACCGTGTAATTTTTTTTATAAATATGCATTTCTCTAAAAGTTAAAAAAATTTTTTCTCTTGAAAAGACGATACGGGGACATCTGTATACCGGGTGTTGCATCGTCGGACGGGACATAGGAAATCCCATGTAAATTTTAATGGGGTCAATTATTGACTTCCCTAATTATTTTAAAGAACAATTCTATTTAGGTTTATTGAAGAGCATTAAAACCCACATTCAAAAGAATAACATATTTTTGGTTAGCTCGTTTACGAGTTATCGCCGATTTCTTTTTAAATATTTTTCCTTTCTTATGGCCCTGTATTTACTTATGAGCACCAGTCAAGGTAAAAGATAACTGTCAAATGAAGTTGTCATTTCAGAAATTTACCTATTTGTGCTTTATTATTATTGAAAACTCATTCCTACATCGGAAATCTTAAAGATGTATTTATAAATACCGTATGATCGAGAAAAAACGGCGTCAACGATGGCTATGAAATGAAGATCGCTGTCATTTTATATGTAAATTTATATGGGAAATGTCATCGATCGTCATTTCCCAGCCAACTGGACGCCATTTTTTTTCGATCATACGGTACAAATTAATATGAACTAAAGTTAAATAAAGTAATCAATTACAAGGTTAATTATAGTATTATTACAATATTCAATAACTTATTAATTTAGGTACTATTAAATTGTTTGAACTTTAGATTTAAGATGTTCAAATATTCCTTCCATCAACTGCTAGACAATAACCCAGGTGATCATAAAATTCTCTTCTTACATTCGCTAGTTGGTAAACTGAAATTCTATTGCATTCGGCAGAAATAGAATTTTTTAACTCGTCTAGATTTGGGTATTTTTTAATCCTTGTATATCCTGTTTTTTAAATGGCGCCAGAGAAAGAAATCATTTGGCGAAATATCAGAAAACCTTGCTGGCCAATTTACTGTATAAGAAATCGGCGATAACTCGTAAACGGGCTAATCAAAAATATCTAAAGTTATTCTTTTGAATGTGGGTTTTAGTGCTCTTCAATAAACCTAAATAGAATTATTCTCTAAAATAATTAGGGAAGTCAATAATTGACCCCATTAAAATTTACATGGGATTTCCTATGTCCCGCTCGACGATGCAACACCCGGTATAACATAAAATCACTGTGACTGTTTTATTGGTTTTAACCAAAGAATTACAAGTTCATCGTTTAAAATTAACCTTTCATTCATAACCAGCATCCATTGTTTTACTTCACTGCATCACGCTCCTGATCATATCGCTTTAATATTTCCACGTAGTTCTCTGATACAACTATATGGGAGGTCTATCATTAGCATTGCATTAATTATTTCTTTTTTATTATATTTTATTGTTAAATATAAAACAATAAAGCTATCTAGTGTTCATGATAAAAGAAATATTTTTTTTTATCAAGAATCGAAGAATTCTTATCAGACTAAACACTTTGTTAAAAGAAAATTATTATGTCAACTAAATTATGATTTTTTATTTTCAGAACCATGATGGATGGGGGAAAATTTCATCCTATGAAAAGGAGGGCTACTCCGATTCCTGTGGCGCCCCCTAGAATACCAACCCCTATGCCACTGAATAATAATAATGGACCAAGGTAAATATCCAGTTGCCATACACGTATATATCTAGCTTCTCATTTCATGACGGAGTCCGATGCCTGTAAAGAATCAAACTGAGTATTTTTTATAGATGTAGATTGTAGATCACATAATACAGTCTCAGGGCTTTGACAAAAGCCAGTATCTGAGACGGTTTTACAGAGGTTAGTTCTCCAGCTCCGATATCTGTCATACCAAAGTGTAAGGTACGAATGGTTGTCGTCTCGGCCCACTCTGGTGATGAGGTGTTCTGGTGTTTCCCCATTTTCCCCAAAGAATCTGCATTCGCCATTGTTTCTTAGCTTGATTGTACATTTTTTTGGCATTGTACGGTATTGAGCCTTTAACTAGTTCTGAGTTCGGGGTTGGCAGATAAAGATCGTGCTCCGCATTACTAAGTGAATAATTGTGAGATGGCCTTTCGGGAATAGCAGATATGTGCTTGCGGATTAAGCAAACGGATTCAAAAATAAATAAAGAAGGAAGAGTCAGTATTCTGAAATGTTTAAAGAAATTCTGGCAGTGAGTTCTACTGTTCAGTCCCAATAAATATCGAACTGCTCTCTTTTGAAGTTTGAAAATACGATCAAATTTTGTTGCGCAGCAAGTACCCCAGAATGGAAGGGCATAACAAAGATGTGACTCAAAAAGGGCATAATAGACTATTCTAGAGGTTGACAAGTTAAGCTCCTTAGAAACTGATCTTAGCGCAAAACAGGCAGCGCTTAGTTTCTTTGATAAAGCTTCGATGTGCAAGTCGCATTTTAACGAGTTGTCTACAAGTCCTAATAGTACGAGAGCTAGCAACGTCGGGAAAACAAGTATTTTAAGACGTCTGGCTCTTTGATATATCTTTTATTATGCTCTCTGGAACAGCATGCGGCCCGTCTGGCTGCCGATACCCGTTGCGTTCACTACTGCGCATCCAAAGAAGATCCTCTATTTTTTACTTAGCGCTTTAAATTCTATTATTGAATAAAAATCGAGCAAGTCTCCATTAGCTCGGCGCGTAGAGCTTTCGCCTATGAAGCGAAGGTCAGTGGTTCGATACCGGCTGGGGGTCCACCTTTTTTTTTTCTTATCGTTTATATTCTGATAGTAAAGTATTAATTATTAGCTTTTTTATCACCAGAACGGATGGCGCTTATGGGTTTATGATCCGTAGTGTATATAAGTAGAATTTGATACTTTCATTTGTTTTGAAGGATTATTGTGGTAATTAATTATTAGACAGGTTTAGGATGCTGCGGCTGCCGCGTTCACTACTGCGCATCACATGTGTACAGGGTGTCCCATTTTTGTGCGTTTTTTGGGATTTCTCGTTTATAATTTCATTTTAAAGATTTAAACATAATATATAAAAATTAACATTTTAATGCTTTATGAAGGTAATTTCTGCCTGTCTTTCTTCAAAATATTTTTTTCAGCTGTTGTTTATTATTTTAATAATCATTTTAATAATACTTTTTTTAACAGATTGTTATTTAAAAGCTACACAAGTTTATTTTCAGTTAAGTTTGTTAAGATAACGATGGAAAACAAAATTATCTGCTTAAATTAAATTAAATAAAATAATACTTTTTAAACAAGATTGATTAATCAGTAGCGTAACTTCAAATGTGAGGCCCCCCGCAAGATTTTTTAGGGGCCCTTATATTAAAATAAAAAAAACACTAAAAAACATAATATAGCTTTATGTAGGTATATCAAGTCATTTAATATATAAAAACAAACATTTAACTTATTCCACATAAGAAAAAATAATAATAAAGGAACATAAAAAATAAAACATTACAAAATAAATCAACATAAAACAAAACTTAGATACTAAAAGAAAACTAAATAATAAAAATAAATAAACATAAATAAACATAAATAGAAATTTTCTAATAAAAATATGATTCAAATTAAAATAAATTAATAGGAACTAGGAACAAATAAAATGTAAAAAAGGAACAAATAATGCGGGGCCCTCAAAATCACGAGGCCCCCCCGCCGCTGCGGGTGCAGCGGGGCCTACGCTACGCTACTGTGATTAATGTTAATGTGTAGAAAATGAGCAAATCTAGGGGTACAATATTTAGTTACATAAAAAACTAGCAAAGCACTGTGAAAAAAAACGTATAATTGTATCTCCACTCATAAACGAGAAATCCCAGATATCCCAAATCCCAAAAAACGCACGAAAATGAGACACCCTGTACCCATGTGATGCGCAGTTGTGAACGCAACTTACCTATGCGGCAGCCAACCATCCTAAACCTATCTAATAATTAATTAATACAATAATCCTTCAAAACTAATGAAAGTATCTAATTCTACTTATGTACACTACGGATCATAAACCCATAAACGCTATCCGTTCTTGTGATAAAAAAGCAAATATTTAATACTTTACTATCAGAATATAAACGAAAAAAAAAAATAAAAAAGTTGCACCCCAGTCAGTATCGAACCACTGACCTTCGCTTCATAGGCGAAAGCTCTACGCGCTGAGCTAATGGAGACTTACTCGACTTTTATTCAATACTAGAATTTAAAGCGCTAAGTAAAAAAATAGAGGATCTTCTTTGGATGCGCAGTAGTGAACGCAACGTGTATCGGCAGCCAGACGGCCTGCAGGCTGTTCCAGAGAGCATAATAAAAGATATATCAAAGAGCCAGACGTCTTAAAATACTTTCTCGAAAACGTTGCTAGCTCTTAGACTATAAGAATTTCACGACTTCAATAGTGGTGTTATTAAGTACAAAAGGTTGTATAGTACTTTTATATGACAAAACTTTAGTTTTTGATAGGTTGAGGCATAGGAGATTAGAATCGCACCAAGATTTAATGGTGCGTAAGTCACTGGAAATAATATTATATAGTCCCTAACATCTGGGCCGCTCCAAGTGAAACTAGTATCGTCCGCAAAGAGGCAGATTTTACCGCTAATGTCTAGATTTGCAATGTCGTTGATCAACGCCAGAAACAAAATAGGGCCAAGTACTGAACCCTGAGGAACCCCACATTCTATCATTCTATACGCTTGCAAGAAGACATAGTATCTGTGTATATCGACTGTGTATCGCATGCGATCCTGATTGACAAGTTGTACAGATATGGTGTTAGAGGTGTTGGACTGCAATTGCTTAAGTCATATCTCGACGGGCGTAGACAGTGCGTGGACTTTGGCAATGCGGTTTCTGAAGTAGGTTTGATGGAGAGTGGTCTGCCACAGGGATCTGTACTGGGACCACTGCTCTTTATTATTTATATTAATGACCTTTTTAATTACCTTATACCAAATAAGTGTCGAGCGTTTGCAGATGACAGTTCAATGTCTTGTAGAAACAAAAATATGGATCTGCTAGTGACTGAAAGCGAAAGGTTGATGAAACGTGCGGAGACTTGGTTCACGCATAATTGCTTGAAACTGAATCGCGATAAAACGCAAAACATATTTTTTTCCTCCAAATGGTCTAAGGATATAGAAATGAATAGTGCTAAACTATTGGGTATTACACTGGATAGTACACTCAGTTGGGTACCACATATTGAAAATCTTGATGCGTAAACTTAAAGCGTTAATCTGCCAGGAGTCTTTGTTGAATTCGTACTATGCCTTGTTTCATTCCCATATGTCCTATGGAGTGGCTTTGTGGGGGAACTCGACAAATTCTATTCAAATATTTCGGTTGCAAAAAAAGGTAATTAGAATATTATGTGGTGTTGGCTATCGAGATACATGTAAGCCGCACTTTATTAGACTGAATATACTTACACTGCCTGCTCTGTATATATTAAATCAACTTTTGGAAGTTCATAAAACTAAATCTTATCTGACAGTTAACTCTGACTGTCATAATTATGGAACAAGATCTGCCAATCTAATACGAACCAATTTCTATAGACTGGATAAATCAGCTAGAAACTCTCTACGCATTGATTTATACAACCTTCTTCCAATGGAATTAAAAACTCTATGTTTTAATAAATTTAAATATAAGCTTAAAACATTTTTAGAGAAATCTGGAATTTATAGCGTGGATGAGTTTATAGAGCAGGTAGATGGGAACTTAGATTTAATTTGATTTATTTGTACAAAAATTCTTAAATTGCTGTTTGTCTTGTATGTATTTAATGTAACACACTTTGCCCCCGTGTATTGTTTTTTTTCTAACTTTTAGTATTTTTATGAATTCTTATCTGTTTGTTATTTACTCTGATCTGCTACAATTATACATTTTATAAATACGTAGTGAGTAAAGATTTATTTATTTATTTATTTATATTTATTTATAGACGTTTCAATCCTCACAAGCTGCCTTCTGTTGCCAAGATATGACTTAAGCCATTCGAAATCTACTGAGGTGTTCATTGAGGAGGCAGTGCCTTGTTAAAAAGACCTAACTTAAATCATTTTTAAGTGATAATAATATGTTTTCAAATCTGTATTTTTTAATGACTGTTTAAAAAAAATATTCTAGATTTTTATTAAACATACCTGTATGTGAATTTATAAAATATTTTTCAAGTTACAATGAAACAAAGAGCTTAAAATAGAATAGATATCTATATTTTATTGTACGAAATTTTATTTAAATTTCAATTTACAAATGGCTATATCACAGCGTGATATACTCGTATAGCATATAACAATTTTAAATAAATTTCCACAAAAATACATAGCTTTTTTTTTAATTCAAATGCATCTACCTACAGCATCATTACCTGGATATTACTATGTTTAAATATTCAGGAATACAGTACGTTGTTATTTCATTAATATTTTTCTGTTTATTTTATTCTGATCTGTGTACAAAATCCGCTAATCAATAGAATTAAAAATGCACCGTGTGTGTGGTTTTATATCTACGTCGTTATTTGAAATAAAAGAAATTAATATTTTGTTTTATAACGAGTGGAAATAATGCTTTGAAGTTGCGGATTTTGTTCTGTTTGGGGAAATATAAATAATCATGCATATTTAATAAAATAAAATCATTATTTAGTGTATTGGGCTCTCTGTTTGTAAATCTCGTTTTTTATCTGAAAAAATAAAAGTTATAGGGGTGAGCCACTTTTGAGACACACCCGGTATACAACTAATTCTAAATCCTCTAATAACAATTTCACGCATTATTGATAGCTGCTGATAGGGTTTATACTTGTAGGGGTTTGAATATTTTTCTCTGCATATTTCGTAGTATTTTGAACTCGAAAATAGGAACCTCATTTGTAATAGTAGTAAGGCAAAAACGAAAAAAATATGCAATTCAAAGAAACCATGTCAGATCTGTATCTTAATCGGAACGTCTCCGTAGAAAGGACTTTATTCAAAACACCAAGATTTATTTTTCCGTTTTCTTTGGCTCCGTTAATATATTTTTTCCAGTTCCTTTCGACAGTTGTACATCTCTCCAGAGAGACCATGTATGAATCGAGATCTCCGTAACAGATATACGGACAAGCTTGAAGGAAATACTTAGAAACTACTTAAATGTGTCTTTGTTGGTGTCTGAGGTTTATTGGTGTATACAGACGTACAATGAACAGGCTTTCATTGCAAAATGATATAGAGAGTAAAAGAAACGTCGTTTAATGTTTAGAGATATAGGGTGTTCCAGGCTGAGTGTACATTAGAAGTTTCTACAGAATCTATATCTAGAAATTCCAATCTAGAAATTGTAGTTCTCCAGAAACTTCTAATGCACGCCCAGCCTGGGACGCCCTGTATATCAATGTAACACTTCATTTTTTACTTTATTTACTCGGCAGTAAGAGAAATCCGAGATGCTGGATATAAGACTCCGGGGACTAATGCTTTGAAATTTTAATAGACAGGATCTCGCTGGAAGAGATGGGAAATTTATTCACGATACGAACCCAAGAGAGAGTCAGTTTAGTCATAATTAAAATCAAATTCTAGGGAATTTTATTTATTTGGTTGGTAGGGTCTTTTATGGCGGGAAAAGGTTGGTCAGGGTTCAATGTCAGGTCCTGATTATGGAGTGTAGAGGTGAAATACGTTCAAATAAAATATACGGAGGGTACCGCTTAAATTCCTGTCCCGATGGCTATAGAATGTCAATGCATTTCCTACATAAGTCTATCCTTGTTCGGGAGGAGGTTTTCTGCGCTTGCTCGATCTGTAAGCACTTTGATTGGACAGTTCCAAATCATATGATATGTTTTGTTTTGGTTTTATTTTTATTTATTTTAAGTTGAGGTTAAAGACGTTCTAATAATTGAATTAAATCTTTTGGAAACTTTTTGTTAAATATTCTGAAATCAAATAAGTTTGATAATGTAACATTATGCGCATATTTATCAATTGAGATATTTTAATCGTATCCAACATGTTATGGCAAAACACTTTGTCGTGATCCTGGATTGGACCACCGTCGTCACCAATCTTGTAGTCGCTGCCACCAAATGTTGTAGTTCTCTATTTGACTCGTATCACCACTTGTTGGGAATGTTATTCTTTATTTTTTTTATAATTAAATTCTTACTAAGTTGTTATTACTTTTAATTTTTAAACTTTTAATACAAAATATAAATTTAGCAGTATTACGTCTATAGAAAAAATTTTTATGAATGTTCCCGGTCCCTTCTGTGACCGTGCTTTTATGGAGAATTTCCAAGTTCTCTCGAAAATCCACGTGGCGTACCTACTGGCCCTAATAATATTTTCAGGTAGGTTTGCAAAGGACAAACATGACCATTTCTTAAGTAAATAGAAACCAGACATCGCGTCTGAAAAGTAAACGAATTACAAAGGAAAACTAAAAATGATGCAACTTTTATGACTATTTCTTCCAAATTTCATCTTAAGGTAATGGTTCTGTTTATTTGCATCACCCATCTTTCTGAGAAGAATAATAATGTTGATGGTATTTTTCGTACCTTAAATTCTTTAGGCATAGCCGTAGAATAAGGGTAAAAATAATATTTTATACAATTTGTCGAATATACATATACATATAACCATATTAAATGTATGTTCACAACACCTCCCCCCTTAATGAGAGATTTCATGAGGTGAAAGTGATATGAAATCTCAAAACAAATGTTTATATAATTAATTAGTATAACTCAGATGGAAATGAATAAAAGTACATATATAAAAGTATTATACAAGTCTTAACTACTAATTATAACTAACTTACATTCTAACTTAACTAACATTTTTTTTTATAACTATTGCAGATTTAAAAATGTATCAAATGCGGAAATTATTTTTCTTTTAATGGTCGCCTTGATGGTACATACCCAATGGGTCTGCGCGAGGGCGCCTGTAAATTAACATTCTCTTCTTCGGAGTTTTCATAGTTACCTACATTTTCAGAGTTTTGGCTAATATTACGATTATAATGAGCAACATATCTATCACTATTTCTAGAAGATGGTTCCACAGACTGATTAACTCTAATGCATAAGTTTGGAATAATTCCGCAACAGGCTGTCTTGTTAGTACATTTTGTATACAATTTATAAATAATAAAAATAATAGCAAGAAGAGCTAAGATATAGGCAATTACAGATGCTGGAAATGTATAATTGTTTACAAGTTTCCTTTTTAGAATTTCATCACCTAACTTTTCAATATCTTCTAGCTTATGGCTCGCTACATTAAGTTCGGGGATGTGCTTTGTTAATTTCCTATAATGTTCGTTGAGAAATATTTCACTAATGTTTATTTTTTCTTCCTTTATCCTTTCGCAACAATTATCACTAATGTCGAATGGTGGAATAAAATCACTTGAAATATTGGACTGGACTGTATTTCCATGAGGGATTAGCATTGATGATGCGCTATAAGCTTTACATTGTTTACCTATAGTGACACTACCGCAATTTTTTAGTATTACATCTACGTGATTTTTTTTATTATTACATGATATCGTAAGAGTTTCTGGATGAGGAACTGCAAATAACCAAGTGTTACTGGTAATTATTATAAATAAATTAACCCTATATAAGCTAATTAAAATTTATTAATTCTAGTTTTTATAATCTATATATACTGATTATGTTTAGTTTTAATAATAAAAATATTTTAATCTATTTGCATGAATAGTTTGTTTATTTTTTCCTTTTTGAATTGTATAATTTACATCTGATATTTTTTTTATAATGGTATATGGACCAATCCATAAGGCGGAAAGTTTTTTACTTCTGCCACGTCGAACTGATTCGTCGTAAAGTAACACTTTGTCACCAATTTCGAATATTCTGGTATAACTGTTTTTATCGTAATTATTTTTTGATATGTTTTTACATTTTAATAAGTTTTCTTTAGCTAATTGATTAGAATGTTGCATTTTTTGTTTAAGATTGTTTATGAAATCATCATAAGTATAATTGACTTTAGGTGGTTGTTTAACTGATGTTGGTAATGTAGGAATATGTCCGAATAAAAGTTCAAATGGAGAAAATTGTGTAGCAGTGTGAGGTGTAGTATTATATGTAAATGTTGCATAGGGAATCCAATTATCCCAGTCTGTTTGAGATGTCTTAATGAAGTGTCTTAAATATTCTTCTAGAACTTTATGAGAGCGTTCTAGTGCTCCGTTTGACTCTGGGTGATAACTTGTTGTTTGGATCTTTTTTATCTTTAAAAACTTGCAAGTACTTTTAAAAATATCACTTAAAAAATTTGACCCCTGATCTGTGACTAGCATGTCAGGTATTCCGTAAATGCATATAATATTCGTTACAAAATGATGCGCTACAGTTACAGCTTCTTGATTTCTCATAGGTATATTAATTATATATTTTGTTAAATCATCCTGAAAGGTTAATATGTATTTGTGACCATTTTCGGTTTCTGGTAGTGGTCCAACTATATCTAAAAAACATTTTTCGAACGGTTTTGATGCCGTGGTCGTAATTACCATAGGCATTTTTGTTTTTCGAGACTGTTTATTTTTTTGACAAAGTTCACATTTTTTTATAAACTCTTTTATGTCTTTTTTCATACCTTTCCATGTATATAATTGAGATAATTTTTTATATGTGCGGGATGACCCTTGATGACCTCCTAATGGACAATTGTGATTTTCATTTAATAATACAACTTTTTCAGCATCTGAGGGGTTGATAAGACTGTTGTTAAATATTGTAATTTCTGAATAGAGGTCTTTAAAAATATATCTTATCATAGGAAGAACGATTTCCCATTTGACTAATGAGTTGTAATGATATTTTATAAATGATAGTTCGGTTTTTTCGTTGGATATAATATTTCGTAAAGTTAGTAAGCAAGACCAAATATTTTCATAATTAATATCACTGAATGTATTTTCGTTGTCTGTTAATAGAAATATATTACAATTATTTTGTTGATACTGAAAAACTGACGGCATGTCTAAAGGATTTGTGTTATCGTAATGTTCTAAAAATGTATTAATTTGTTTATTTTTTTCTAGAATTTTAAAGTCGTTTTTGTTGAATAATTTTGGCAAAAATAAAACTATAGGTATAAGTTGTGGTGTTTCAAACAGATTTGTGTTTTTTTCTTTGACTTTGGAATTAATAATTATATGGCTTTCGAGATGTGTTTTAAAATTATCATAATTGGTAATAATAGAATTGACATTTGTTGTGCTAACTATTCTACTCAATGCATCAGCATTTGTATTAATCTTTCCAGCTTTATAAATTATTTCATAGTCATATTCTTCAAGTTTTATTCTAAAACGCGTCAAACGAGAACCAGGGTCTTTGATATTAAATATATAGAGTAGGGGTTTGTGATCTGTAACAATTTTAAATCTTGTGCCAAAAATATATGGACGGAAATGTTTTACTGCCCAGACGATTGCAGTTAGCTCTTTTTCTGAAGTTGAATAATTTTGTTCTGCTTTATTTAGAGTTCTACTAGCAAACGCTATTGGACGATCATGATTAACCTTACCCTGCGATAAAATTGCTCCTACTGCGAAATTACTCGCATCTGTTGTTATAATAAATTCTTTGGTAAAATCTGGGTATTGGAGAACAGGTGGAAAAGTTATACTATCTTTAAGAATTTGGAAAGAATTTTCGCATTTTATACCCCAATTAAAAACAGAATCTTTTTTTAATAATTCGGTTAAAGGTTTAGCAATTTTAGCGAAATTTTTGATAAATTTCCTATAATATCCTACAAGCCCTAAAAAAGATTTTATATCTTTAGGATTTTTAGGTTGCGGAAAGTTTGTTACACATTGAATTTTTGATGGATCTGGTTTAATGCCGTTTTCTGTAATAATGTGACCTAAGTATAAACATTCTTTTCGTAAAAACTGACACTTCGAAGGTTGAAGTTTTAAATTATGTTGTCTAAATCTTTGAAAAACTTCAATTAATCTATCGTTATGTTCATTTAAGTTGTTTGCATAAATTACTATATCATCTAAATAAATAAAGCATTTCATACCATTAAGACCGCTTAAAACTGTGTTCATGAGTCTTTGAAATGTGGCGGGAGCTCCTTTTAAACCGAAAGGCATTCTGTTATAAACGTAATGTCCTGTATTAGTGCTAAAAGCGGTTTTATTTTTATCTTTTTCGTCCATTTCTACCTGATGAAATCCACTAGTAAGATCTAAGGTAGTAAAATAATGAGATTTTCCTAACTGGTCTAAAATTTCTGCTATATTAGGTAGAGGATATGCGTTTCCAATGGTAATTTCATTTAACTTTCGAAAATCAACGCATACTCTAAATTTAGGTGATAATGGGTCGCTTTTCTTAGGAACAACTAGTAAAGGACTATTCCAAGGACTGTCCGAAGCGGAAATTACCCCGTCTTTTAACATTTGCTCAGTTTGTTCATTAATTATTTCTTTATGTTTGAAAGGCAATCTATAAGGTTTTACGTTAATAGGACCTTTATTACTTTCTGTCGGTATAGTGTGTTTTATTGTGTTGGTGCTTGTTAGTTTATCGCCTTCTAAGTAAAAAATATCGTTAAAATCTCTACAAATATCTAATACTGAATTAGTTTCTTCTTCATTTAATTGGTCTAGATTAATTTCTTTTCTTATTTTAGCAAAACGATCGATAATGTCATAATTATATGTTTCTATAAATTCGTACTCATTAAAAGAAATAGGTTCGACATTCACTCTAGGTGTATGGATAGTTTGAGCTTCATTAGAAATATTTAATATGCTAACTAAACATTTATAGTTCTGGACTTTTGTTAGGCTTGACCCTAGATATAAATGTTCGGATAATTGTTTTGAAACTACTATGCCTTCGGACGAAGATAAATTAGCTAGAGCAGGTACAATAATTTGACATCTCGCGGGAATTATTGTAGTTGCTTCTGACGGCAAAATTTTAAAAAAATTGTCTTCAAAATTAATGACTCCGTCTTCGTAATTTATTTTGGCTTTATACTTTTGCAAAAAATCGCGTCCTAATAGTCCATCACTTTTAATCGGTATACTATCTGGCACAATGTGAAAAGGATGAGTTATTGCTTTGTTATTGTTTAATTTAATTGGGATGTTACAAACACCTTTAGTAAATACAGGTTCTTTACTTATACCTTTTAATTCTATAATGCAAGTTTTATTTAATTTTAGATTATTTTGTAATAAGATACATTCTTTCAATAAAGATATATCTGCCCCTGTATCTAATAAAAGATGTAATTCTTTATCTTTTATATCTAAAGAAGGGATTTTAATTATCTCTAATTGTTGGTAACTATCGGAAAATAATACTGATTTATGCGGTATGTCAATTAAGTTTTGCTCAATTTTAATTTTATTTTTATGCTCAGGTAGTGTGTAATTCATAGAACAGCTATTATCTAATTTTAAGAAGCGCTTAATCGGCTGCTCGCGACCAAGGCTTCGCTCTCGTTTCCCGAAAAATTTTGAGATGTGCTCGGTTCTGAAAAATAATTATCTGCTGAATTGATTAACGACTGAGAATTTATAGTTTGAATTTGTTGTGGTGATCTATTATTTGAACTATTAAAATTGGTAGTACTGGATTCATTATTGTAATTAGAAAAATTTTGAGATTGTTGAGGTATCGAAACATTTTGCTGCCGTTGAGGAACTTGTGAGTTATTAAAATTTCTTGGATTCTGAGAATATCTATTATTGTAATTTGAACGAGGATTATTACTGTTATAATTGTTACCATAATTACGATTATAATTACGCACGTCGTTGTTCTGATTAAAATTTTGATTGTTGTAGTTTCGATTAGTGAAACGTCCTTGATTATATTGTACTGTATTTACGTCTTGTCTATTTGAAAAATTATTATTGCTATTAAAATTTTGCGGTGGGCGTGTCTGATTATTGCTAGGTACATTTCTATTATATGAGTTACTATTTTGTTCGTATTGCCTAAGCTGTCTACACTGTGATGTTAAATGATTATTTTTAAAACAAAATAAACAGGAATTATTAGAAGAATGATTATTTAATTGTCTATTTCCACGCTCTACAAAACCTATATTTTTAAAATGCGAGTTTTTAAACCTGTCATTATTCTCAAGTTCCATTTCAATTGCTAATGATAAAGCTTTATCTAAATATGTAGTATTTTCGGCAATAATACGCATTTGAATTTTTTCATCGTTGAGTCCTTTTCTAAAAGTATTGACTAAAATGGAGTTTAAATTTTCTATTAAAACAGTAGCTTCGTTATTTGCATAATTTAAGTGACACGTTTCTTTATATTTATTAAAGAGAATTTGTAATCTATCGCCATATTCTTTTACAGTTTCCCTAAAATGTTGCTTTATATTCATTATTTGTGTTAGAAAATGCGATGGTGGTGTTTATCAGTAAGAAGTGCTCTAATAAGAAATCTTTTAGTTCTTCCAATTTTGAAACTGTTTATATTGTGTTACCTCTTGTGCCTTCCTTTTAATTTAGTACCAAAAATTAAATCTACTAGTAATTCTTTTTGATCCACTTTGACAATTTTTAATATTGAATCACAATTTTTAAAGAAAAATTGGAGTGGTACGTCACCCTGACCATCAAATAAATTTATTAAATTCAGAACATCCGTTGCGTCTTTACCTCCCCTGCGCTATTGGCTATATTTTATTAATGATTTATTACTTTAGTTTAAGAATTATTATTTATTTTTATAGATGTATTTTTAGTTTGAAGAGAAAAAAAAAATATTTACGAATTTTAAGCAATATTTTTTTTTTTTGTTATTTGCAGCCCAAATTATTATTGTCTTAACTAAATCTAACTAACTAAAATCAGAAGAAAAACAGTAGCGTCACAATACAGTAAACAAATGAAAGACTTACCCCGTCATCATCTGGTGAAAACAAAAGCTTCCCTGGAGACTTGCTGCTGCGTCTGGCGCTCCTTCAGTGTCCCCAATGTCTATGTCTCGTGTCCGGGCTTCTTGCTGCTTGCTTGGTGCACCTTCAAGAACTGCCGTTGCCTCTATCTTCTTCCAAAAACTGGTAGGTTTTCTGCTGCGTCTGGCGCACCTTCAGAAACCTTAGTAGTTTTACCATGCTGCCACCAATGTCGTGATCCTGGATTGAGGACCACCGTCGTCACCAATCTTGTAGTCGCTGCCACCAAATGTTGTAGTTCTCTATTTGACTCGTATCACCACTTGTTGGGAATGTTATTCTTTATTTTTTTATAATTAAATTCTTACTAAGTTGTTATTACTTTTTATTTTTAAACTTTTAATACAAAATATAAATTTAGCAGTATTACGTCTATGAAAAATTTTATGAATGTTCCCGGTCAGCCTTCTGTGACCGTGCTTTTATGAGAATGCCCTCTCCGAAATCCACGGGCGTACCTACTATTTCATAATAATATTTTCAGGTAGGTTTGCAAAGGGACAAACATGACCATTTCTTAAGTAAATAGAAACCAGACATCGCGTCTGAAAGTAAACGAATTACAAAGGAAAACTAAAAATGATGCAACTATTTATGACTATTTCTTCCAAATTTCATCTTAAAAGGTAATGGTTCTGTTTATTTGCATCACCCATCTTTCTGAGAAGAATAATAATGTTGATGGTATTTTTCGTACCTTAAATTCTTTAGGCATAGCCGTAGAATAAGGGTAAAAATAATATTTTATACAATTTGTCGAATATACATATACATATAACCATATTAAATGTATGTTCACAACAACTTTTTCGACCAAAAGTTTTCAGATATCTTCGATTTAGTTATTTTCGAATGTTTATTTTGTTTATATCTATTACAAACTCAAGGAGCAACAGTTTTTTACAAGTAGTGTTAATTTTGATGCTGGTGCAATACTTCTACACGTTAAAATAAGTTTATTATAAATATTACAGACATTTAAAAGAATAGGCTATGGAATAGGTATATAAAATTATTTTATATCTGTCTCTAATGGGGGCTTCTAGTAGCGTAATAGGTATCTGCAGTGCGATTCTGTAAACATTTCCCTGTCTAGTGACTCATCAATCGTATGTCACAAATAGCATAAACTCGATAGGAAATTTCTTGCTACAGAGCTTACAGAATCCCATTGCTGATTTCTAAAATTCTTTTTCTAGATAGGCTTCCCGCATCTGTAAAACTCTTATTTTATGGTATGTAATTAGTATTCTGAAGAGGTATTAAAATATTTTAATATCAATATAGTTTTTTCACTGAAACTCGAGTTAAATCTTAATTATACATTATTCATATTGTCGTTTTAGGTTGTGCTTTTATACTTACTATTATGAAAATTTTACTGACCAAAAATATATAGTTGCAATCCCTTTTACTGAACTCCTTAATTCTCTTGTTTTATGAGGGGATAATTTTTGCTTCGGCTTTAGGTACTAATTTTAATTAGACTATTTTTAATGAACTCATTTATATTTATATCATATCGTTCTAAGTAGACTTTGTTGTGTTAGACAATTATTATTAAATAAAACGAATGAAAAAAAAGTCACAGGTACGATATTTTTTTTTAAATTCAAAAATAATTTAGTAAAACCACAATTATTAAGAAATTGTCTTAAAAAACTTCGTAGTACAAATTGCATATCTATTTCACTTTTTAAAATTCAAAAATAATTTAGTAAAACCTCAATTAAGGAACTGTCTTAAAAACTTTGTAGTACAAATTGCATATCTATTTCACTCGACTTAAAAATTGCAGCAAAAACAAAGTATAACAGTACATTTTTTACTGTCTATTGTTTCTTTACTGCCCATGTATTTAATGATCAGTAATCAACTATGTAGTCCTGGTTTAAAATGAAACAAAAGTAATTCTTTATTATTAACATATTTTTATTAAACAAATATAACGTACATATTAAGTTTATACATAAATCAAGCTAGATACAAAAAATATAATTATTTACATTGTTGCATTGTAAATACTCTTTTATATTATGAAAAAAAAAACAATAATAATTTACAATAAGACAGTCTGTGTGGAACTGTGTAAGCATTATAATTAGCCTTATGTAGTCTCTATTTTTAGTCTTTACATTATAATGTCTTTTTTATTTTAAAATAGTAAAGACTAAATATAATGCAATTATTGATTTTTGAATAAAATTAGTTACGCATATTTTTGTCTTATATTAACATCCCTTTTATTTCTGATTTTGCTTTCATGATACAAACGAACATCGAGAAAAATTTTTATTATTAATTTTGTTAGTTGGCTTCTACCACACAAAAAGCAGTAGCCCATTCCCATTGTTCTATTAATTAAACTACAGCAAAAGTCTTTAAAACTAAATCACAAAATTGTCAATAAACGCACAAAGATTAAATACAAACGAAAACACAGTACACGTGGAAAACACAGAAAGTTAGAGAAAACACTAATGACACTAATGGCGACTGCCCAAGTCCAAACTGAAAACAAAATCACAAAATCCACGCCGACGACGCGTCCAAAAATAAATCGATAACCCATCTCGACACCATTCGGCCAATAGAAAAGTAGCATTTCGGCGCATGTGCATTACATCTAGCTACTGAACAAGGATGGACTTATGTCAAACTCGATCTTCTGTCCTTCAATTCTGGGACATAAATTCTCTCATTGCTCTTATGGGGAGGCCGCGGTATATGTAAATTTAAACGTATTTGGTAGAGGTATACTACGCTCCATAGTCCATCCATAAAATATGTACGAAGTGTGTCAACTTTGGAAATTCGGTCATTTAAAAGATATTTGCAAAAATCTGCCTTCAAATTAGTAAAATTTATAATACGGCCCAGAGAAAGCTACAATTAAAATACCAGTAAAAATGCGATTGTGCCATTGTCAAATTCGATGTCACATGTTGTTTACAATAATTTAAAGGTACCAAATAGAGTAATTTTTGTATAAAATAATTATGATTTTTAAAACTTCTGAAAAAGTTACGATGGTTAAACGGCATCTTGCTGGAAATAGTATTCTCCCTGTGTTAGATATATTCGCAGCTCAATGATAATAAGTTAACAGTTTAAAGATAATACTTTAAATATAGCTTTCTCTGGGCGGTATTATAAAATTTTAGAAATTTGAAGGTAGATTTTTGCAAATAACGTTTGATGATAGATGCTTATTCTAAATAATAAGAAATTCTAGATGAAAGTACAACTTTAACGCCTAAAAAAGTGTCTAATACAATTTTCGCATAAAATCATCTGGGGAGATAATATTTGACCCTTTCAAAATTTGCATTGGATTTCCTATGTCCCGTGTTCCGATGCACCACACGGTATGTGGTTTAAAAAATAGTATATTGTCTTATTAGGAGTAAAAAATGATACTTTATGTGGCAAGACTGTACGTTTGACATACAGCCGAGGCACAAAAAGTCATTTTTACTCCGAATAGAACATGCCCATGCCAACATGCTATTTTTTTTTCAAACGCCACAAATAATTTTTTAAACAATTCCAAACGTACCAAATAATATAAAAAGATTTAACAGCCATACCAGCCATACCTTTACTCTCGTTGAATTTGACACTTTATGTCAGTTTAATAATATATTTTTGTATGATTTTTGTACTTTTATGCTTAGGCGTAATAGTTAATTACAGTACAAGTGTGTTTATGAACATGATTACAACAACGAGTGTGAACGATTAGAACGATTAGAACGAGTGTGAACGATTAGTTCTAATCACACGTGTGTTGTATAGTCTGTCCAACGAGAAGATCCTTGACAGTGATAGATGTGTCTGTCATTTTAATTTCAAAGTAGTTTATTTTATTTTACAAAGAAATAAGTTGGTACAACTGGAACGCATAGCAGGATAATATATTTAAAATTTGATTGACAAGATGACAAGTGATTACTTCAAAATATTGCGAAAAAAACTGTATAAAACTGAAAAAATGTAATCGAGTTATTTTATTTAATAAAAACCGTATGTGTTAATACAAAACAAACAAGAACAAGACACTACATACCAAAAAAATATGAAAAAGAACTATTATTTACTTTCAAGCTTTATGAAACTACCCGCATTTATGATTATATTTATCAATATAACTTATGTACAAATACAAATTTGTAATATTCCACAGGAATAAATAAAACAAACTATTTTATTAATAATAACACCTACCAAGTTTTATAATTTAAAGGTTGATTAATTAACTTTAATCTTAATTTTTTTTAAACCAGTACCTTTTGACATTACTTTTCTGCAGTACTAAAATCCTTTTTTTAGCTATCGTGTGATGTCGATATTTTACAGCTACTCCAGTTTTTAGTATGTGTTTAGTTTGATCCTTCTACCATATACGAGATGCACTTATCTACGACGAAATGGTATACAAACTTTATCGATGGCAACTTCATTGGTGTATAAGACTTTCTGCCTTGTCAGCGAGTATTAACCATAAACTTGCTTCATCGTTCCGCTCTGGGTCTACAGTTAATTTTCACTCGATTTTTCCTCCACTTGACTTCAAAAGACACAAAACACACGTAATAATACGAATCAAAATGCATCATCTTCCAAAACGCAGGGTATTTAACAAAAGTTGACACAAAATTATAACCTATAATTTGGCAAGACTTTGGCAAGCGTCAAAAATGACAAAAATCTAAAGGCGAGTTCGTACGCATCGGCGTCCGTTTGTCGTTCATCGTTCCGTCAAACCAATAAAATTGAAATACGATCTGTCATTTTTTTAAATAAACCAATAAAACTGGTTAAAAACAACAAGACACGACGCATGACGGATTTATATTTAAACGTGATTTAAACCCATCCATAGATAACTTAAAAATTATTAGAAACTTTTTTTAGTAAAATAAATAGATTGGTATGGGACGTCATCTGCTTTTCTTCTGTCATCGTCTGTCGAAATCTTACCTGAGAAAAAAAACAGAGTATAATCATGTTTAAACGCA